GGAGGTGGTGGCCAGGAGAGGGGGTTTTGGTCTGAGGAAGCCACAGGGTTGTGGCTGTAGGGATTGTAAATGAAGATTTAGGGCAGGTGATTGTCACATTCTTTCCAGTAGCAATGGTAATATCGATTTGATTACTCTTCCCAGAGTTAACCATTTACGGGGGGGGGGGCGGTTTGGAGGTATTGCCAAGGGATATAATAAGGTGCCCTGGTAGGTACTACTTTCTTGGTGGATGGCTAAATGGAATGGGAAGCATTGCCTAGGTAAGCTACAGTATGATGAATCTGTACTCACCTACCAAAGGGGACAACTCAGCTGTGGGACAGAACTCCCATTGGAGGAGTCAGTGGGGTGGGTGAGCACTATGGCAGCGGGAGGTTTTTTTTGGGAGCTTTCCTGACCTGTGCAGTGGCAGGGCAAATGAGGAGATTCCTTACTTCCTGAAATCAGCACATAATCTTTAGTATTTCTTCTTCTTTTGTTAAAGCCTCCTCTTACTAATGAGTACAGAGTAACAAAAAGTGGTCTAAAATGGATGAGGGAAATGCCAGAATTATAGAGATCTTAACACTTAACGTTGTACTTTAATGAAAATGTGCAGAGTAAGGCTACTTCATCTTCCTTAGTCAAGAGGCTGTAGCAGTGAATTGAGTGTTGGGATTGCAGACAGGAAGACCAGAATTCAAATTCTGCCTTAGACCCTTACTAGTGATGTGACCTCTAGACAAGTCACTTAACCTCTCTCTGCCTCAGTTTAAGCTTTATAACTTAAAACTGCACTAAGACTTTTGGGATGCCCCCTATAAAAACACTTAACAAATCTTAAAGAATCTTATGAGTGCCAGCTATTATTATTAGTGGTAGAAGTCATTGTTATCCTCCTGCCTTCTTGTTGAAACTCAAATTCTATATTTTATCCTTTGAGATAGCCTGTTCATTTCTGTTTGGGCTGAAATTTGGAAGACTTCTAGGATTGAGATAACTTAAATATTCATTTTTCAGTTCAGTTAAAAAACATTTATTAAGTTCTTCCATGCAGAGTACTATGAGCCCAAGAGCCCATGTCCTCATGGAACATGTAGCCTAGTGGGGAGATAAGACACAAATACATATATGCATTAGGCATAGAATAGAATGTTATAACAAGTATAAATGGGAAGGCCTGTGAGCTTTTAAAAACAATTTTATGGCTGAGGTGACATTTGAGTTAGGCTTTAAAGGAGGGGTCAGGATCAACATCTCACATTATATAACAAAATAAGCTCGAAATAGGTACATAATTTAGACAAAATGGATGATAACATAAGCAAATTAGGGGAGCATGAAAAAATTACCTTTCAGATCTATGGATAAGGGAAGTTCATGAGAGAGAGAGAAAGACAGAGAGGATTACCTGAGATAAATGGATAATTTTGATTACACAAAAAAATGGATAATTTTGATTTTTGCACAAATCAACTAATGCAGGCAAAATTCAAAAGAAAATGGGAAACTGAGGGGAAATTTTTATATCAAGCTTTTCTGATAAAGGTCTCATTTCTCCAATATAGGGAACTATTCCAAATTTGTAAAATTAAGAGGCATTCATCAGTTGATAAATGGTCAAAGAATATGAACAAGTGCCTTTCAGAAAAAGAAATCAAAGCTTATTAAAATGTTCTAAATCATTACTAATTAGAGAAATGTAAATTAAAACAACTCTGAGGTACCGCCTCATACCTATCAGATTGTCTAACAACAGAAAATGAAAGTTACAAATGCTGGAAAGGATGTGGGAAAATGGGGACCGTAATGTACTGTTGATGGAGCTGTGAGCTGTGAGTTAACCATTCTGGATAACAATTTGGAACTAAGCCTAAAGGGCTATAAATCTATGCATACCCTTTGGCACAGCAGTACTGCTACCAGGTCTGTTTCCTAAAAAGATCAAAGAAAAAGGAAAAGGACCCACATGTGCAAAAATATTTATAGCAGCTCATTTTGTGGTAGCAAAGAAGTAGAAACTGAGGGGATGCCCATCCATTAGGGAATGTGATATATGATCGTGAAGGAATGCTGTTCTGCTGTAAAAAATGACAAGGAGGATGGTTTCAGAAAAACCTGGGAACACCTATATGAGTCAATGCAAAGTGAAGTGAGCAGAACTGGGAATACATTGTACATGGTAATAGCAATACTGTTAATAATGATCAACTAGGAAACACTTAGCTACTCTGGTCGATGCAGTGATCTGTGACAGTTCCAAAGGACTGAACATGAAAAGTGCCCCACCTCTAGAGAGAGAATTGATGGACTCTAAATGCAAATTGAAGCACTTTTTTTTTTTCGCTTTTTAAATTTTTCTTGCTCCCCCCACCCCAGTGTGGCTAATGTGGAACTATATTTTGTATGACTTCATTTGTATAATGGGTATCCTATTTCTTGCTTTCTCACTGGTGGAGGAAACAGGGTAGAGGGAGGGAGAGAATTTGGAAGTGAAAATAAAAATTAAAACAGTTTAAAAAAAACTAGGATAGGTAAAAAATCTATTGGCATAGAAGGGAAGGGAAGACATTCTAGCCATAATCTGTTATATGCGATAGAGAAGAGTGAGTGATAATACCAAGATTTTCCCATTTGGGAGACTGAGTAAATGGTGCTCTCATGAACAAACACAGTGAAAAATGCAGAAGTAGATTTAGGGGGAGGGAAGGGTTGGTGTTGCAATATTGAGTTTGAGGTGATCATGGGATGTCAACATATGGACTACATGTAGATTAGGGTTGGCAGGTCTGAGAGGTATCTCATCTTTTCCAGAATCTGCTTCCTGCCCTTACTTCTTTGAGTGTGGAGATCCCTTCTTCCCCTAACCTTCATTTCATTGAATATTCAAGATATTAGACATTCTCCTTCACCTCTCTTCCTTTCTCCCTGATTGTTTTTTCTTGAAGCAAATTCACTACCTGGGTATAAATAGCTATTCTCCTTTGAGTGATATTGGAGTTTTGTTTTGGTCTTTCCTTGGAATTTGGGTCTCCTTCTCTCTGGGAGTTGTGTAGTTGGGGACCATAACACCTAGGCTGCTGTGAAACTGCCTTCTAAGCCTAGCGTTTCCTTGTTGATTGCCTCAATTCCTTTTCCTTTTTGAAATGCATCAAATGGGGCAGCAAGGTGGCGCAGTGGATAGAGCTCCGGCCTTGGAGTCAAGAGGACACGAATCTCGTCTCAGACACTTGACACTTATTAGCTATGTGACCCTGGGCAAGTCACTTAACCCCAATTGCCTCACCAAAAAAAAAAAAGAAAAGAAAAGAAAAAAAGAAAGAAAGAAAGAGAAAGAAATGCATCAAGCTTCCACCTTACTGGCAGAGTTGGGATAACAGATATATCCTTAGACTAGTAAACATTTTGTACCTTTCTCTGGCCCAGTTGCTTGTTCTGCTTTTTATTCTGTTTCTAACTGTATGATTCAAGTCCCTTCCCCGAGGAGGTGTTAGTGAATGTTTCATTCTTTATTTTGATGTTCTCAGTCAGAAGGTGGATGTGGTGCTTCTTGATAGGTCCTCTAGAACATGTGGCTGGTTCTTATATTGATCAGAGTTTCTAAGTCCTTCAGAGTTGTTTGTATTTGCCATGTTGTTACGATATAAATTATTCTTCCAGTTCTGCCTATTTTTCTCTTCATTAGTTCATGCAAGTCTTCCAAAGTGTCTTCTGAAACTATCTGAGGTAATGTATTTTTAAAGTGCTTTGCAAACCATAAAAGTGCTAATAAATGTTAACCATATGCTATTATTTTGTCACATGGATAGGCATTTGGAGTTTGGGAATAGAAGGATTCGATTAATAGAATGTTAGAAATGGAAAGAACTTCACAGTTCATCCAGTTCAACCCCTCTCATTTTACAGATGAAGTTGAGATGCATCGTGATCACAGAGATAGGTAGTGTTAGAGCTAAGACTCAGACCTAGGCCTTCTGACTCCCAAGTCCGGTGGTCTTTCTACTATCTCACCACAAACCTGATATTTTTTCACTATACCATACTGAGTGTATTGTCTCAAATATTATGTAGTTACAATGTTAAGATTTTAATGAATTTTTTTCCATTAAAAAGCACTTATTTTCTCCCCCACCAGCCCCCCAGTAGGATGAAAATGCATAGTCAAACAAAGCAAAGTTCCATGTTGGACATGTCCTCTTTCTGCACCTTAAGTCCATCACCTCTCTGTCAATAGATGGGTAGTTGGGGCAGCTAGGTGGCGCAGTGGATAGAGCACCAGCCCTGGATTCAGGAGGATCTGAGTTCAAATACGTCCTCAGACACATAACACTTACTAGCTGTGTGACCCTGAGCAAGTCACTTAACCCCATTGCCTAGCCCCCCCCCAAAAATAGATGGGTAGTATACTCCATCTTTGGTCCTCTGGAATCATGATTTGTCCTGGCATTGATCAGCATCTCAAGACTTTCAGGTTATTTTTTCTCATAATGTTATTGTATAAATTGTTCTGGTTCTGCTCACCTCACTGCATTGGTTCATATAGGTCTTCCCAGTTTTCCCTGAAATTGTGCATTTCATCATTTCTTATGGTACAATAGTATACATTGCATTCATATACCATAATTTGTTTAACCATTTCCCAATAGAGGGGTACTCCCTTAATTTTCAGTTTTTTGTTGCTACTATTAATATTTTTATATGTATGGGTCCATTTCCTCTTTCTTTGATCTCTTTGGGATATAGACCTAGAGGTATTATTGATGGGTCTAATTAGAATTTTAAACTCCTATTCCATAATGATATCGTCATGCTCTAGCAGAGCTTAAATTAAAACTATTAGAGGATCATAGAGTCTTAGAATACAAAGGAGCCTTATTTTCTCTCCTACTTTTCTTTCCCAATAAGAGAAGCAAGAATTGAGTTTTTTCCCAGTGTTCCCATTTTGGATATGAGAATTTCATCTCTAGGGCACATTGGTAGCTTGGAAACTCAACTTGATGCCTGTGAATGTTATTTAGGAGGAACCAACAAACTTATTTTCAAGTCAAATCTCACATGGGGAGAAGTACAGACAGAGAATCCTAAAGTTCAGAAAGGCCGTTACCACCCAGAAGACTGTAAGGCCTTACAACGGGTTGCCATCCTAATTCCACACCGCAATAGAGAGAAGCACTTATTGTACCTGCTGAAACATCTCCATCCATTTTTGCAGAGGCAGCAAGTGGAGTATGGCATCTATGTCATTCATCAGGTAAGCAGTTACTAGAGTTGGTCCCCTTGATCCTACGAATCTACTTTGCAAGGTTCTACTTGACTACATGGTCATCTTTCTAACTTTTCTTGGGTAAAATTGCCATCATTCAACCTTTCTTGGGTAAAATTGCTATTTTTTTTTAATCCCTGAAAAGGGGAAAACAACATTTTCGTCCCATGGCATGTGGATTCCATTTGAACAAACTCTGGTAAATTTTACAGCCTCTTAAATGAGCTTGCTGAGTGAGGAAAGCTATTTCATGCTTTTTCGTGTTAGGAGTGCTCTCATTAATTACCTTCCTAAACTGTTGCAGTGGCATCCTAATTGGTCTTTCCATTTCCTGTATCAGCATCATCCGATCCATCCTTCATGTGGTTACAAGAAAGAACAGGTCTTTTTATTTCCTGTATCAGCATCATCCAGTCCATCCCTCATAGGGTTGCAAAAAAGATCCGGTCATGTCACTCCTCTGTTCAAAAACTTTAATGTTTTCTTATTGCCTACCAACCAAAGTTCAAACTAAAAGCCTGATTAAATTCTCTTCCTAATATTCTTCAGAATATTTATTGCATGCCATATAAGCAGATGTTTTAATTTTTTTTTTCATAATCAAGAATGATTATTATATGAGGAAGGACTAGAAAGAAGCAGTTATTTGATGGAATCATGTACTAGTGCCTTTTGTTGTACTGTGGCTTTGGAAGTACTAAACCAGCCATCCCTGCCACTTTGCATTTTGCCTTTCAGTAATTAATTAAAATAGACTTTCTGTTGCCTTTCATTGCCATCAGTCACACATTTAACTTTGTTGGTTCACCAGTTCATCTAGTTGTGAAAGACTTTACACTCTTCTTGAAAAAATATAGGATAATGAATTTGATTACCGAGACTTATAACATATTAATGTAAGGTATAAGAAAAAGTCACAAAAATTTTATGTATTTTTATATATCATTAACAAAAAGTGGGGGTGGGGGAGATTAAGAGAGAAATACTATTTATAAAAATGAAAAAATGTATCATCTGTGACATATATATGTCTCACACACACACACAGACACACACATACTTACTAGCTGTATGATCTTTAGTTGTCTGCAAAAGGAAGAGATTGGATTACATGATCTCTAAGGTCCTGACAATAAAGAAATCTATCCCTTTAAGGAAAGTTCATCAGTTAAACTTTTCTGTAAAACTTGAAAAAATAGTTATTCTGCATTTAAACAGAAAGGAAAAAAATTGGCATTTCCATATATTCTGTAGAACAGGAAAAAAAGATGATTACATATGAATCCATCAATCTGTTTACATAGAGCTTGCCTTTTTTAAAAAAAAATTTATTTTAAAAAATTTTGAATTCCACATTTTTTCTCTCCAGCCCCTCTCCTACAATTGGAGAGGGTAAGCCGTATCACACTCATTATAATGTGAAGTCATGCAAAACATTTCTATATTAGTCATGTTGAAAAAAAAGGCAAGAAAAATAAAGTAAAAAAAGTATGCTTCAATCTGCACTCAGAGTTTATCATTTCTTTCTCTGGAGGTGGACAGCATTTTTCATCATGATTCCTTTGGAGAGTAACTAAGTCTTTCACAGTTGATCATTGTCACAATATTTCTGTTACTGTGTACAATATTCTCCTGTTTCTGTTCACTTCCCTTTGCATCAGTTCACATAAGTCTTTCCCAGGTTTTTCTGAAACTATACCCCTCGTAATTTCTTATAGCATGATAGTATTCCATTACATTCATATAACCATAACTTGTTTAGCCATTCCCCAATTGATGGGCATCCTCTCAATTTCCAGTTCTTTGCAACCACAAAAGAGCAGCTATAAATATTTTTGTACATATAGTTCCTTTTCCCTTTTCTTTCCTCTCTTTGGGATACAGAGCTAGTAGAGGTATTGCTGACTCAAAGAGTTTGCACAGTTTTATAGCCCTTTGGCTAAAGTTCCAAATTGTTCTCCAGAATAGTTGGACCAATTCACAAATCTGTCAACAATGTATTAGTGTCCACTTGCTTTAAAAAAAAAAGTATGTAATAGATCCAGCATATTACTTTGCAAGCTATCATGCTTGTCTTTGTCCTGAAAAACTTTTTGAAATCATTCCAGAAAAGTAATTAAAACTCTAAGAAGCCAAGCAAAATTATCAATAGTTTAGTAGTTGTAATAGCTAAGATATTAGTTTTAGGCCAGATGATATAGAACAGCAGTGTTTTGTGTTTTTGTTTAGTTTTTATTTTTTAAAAATTATAAATATAAAAATATATATAAATACACAAATTATAAATATAATCCCAACAAACAAACAAAATAAGGAGCAATGTTTCAGATAAAGAAAATAACTTTACCAAAATAATAACAGTAACTCATATCCTCTATCTCGTTTTGATCCTTTTTTACTTTGGTATATTTATAGACATTTTTGCTTGCGTGCTCTCTCTCTCTCTCTTTATAATAATAGTCAGAATGTATGTTCTTCTAATAGCAATGCTTTGTATAAATTTTCCCTCATTTCTTTGTATTCTTATTTGCCATTTGTGTAATAGTATTCCACTATGTTACTACATCACAATTTATTTGGCTATTCACAAATATAGAGGTTGCTTCCAGTTTTTTAAAAATTACATGTGAAACGTCTGTGAATATTTTTGTACAAAGATCTTTCTTTCCATTTAATAATGTCTTGAGGATACAGTTCTGGAATCATTACGATACAACTTTTAACTTTTTGTTGCCTCTTACTAGATTGTTCTACAAAAAGATTGCTCCAATTTGCAATTGCAACACTATGTAATAAATGCCTGTTGCCTAAAAGTCTCTTCAGTATTCAATAACACAGTTGCAAATTATTTTAGATGATTTGATAGGTATAGGGCAATATCCCAAAGTTGTTTAAATTTGTATTTTTATGATTTATTTAAAATACTTGAATTTAGGGGCAGCTAGGTGGTGCAGTGGATAGAGCACTGACCCTGGAGTCAGGAGGACCTGAGTTCAAATCCAGCCTCAGACACTTGGCACTTACTAGCTGTGTGACCCTGGGCAAGTCACCTAACCCCATTGCCTAGCAAAAACAAACAAACAAAAATACTTTAATTTAGGGAATTATTAGTAATTTGTATATCCTTTTTCAAAAATTGCCTATTAATATTTTTCAATCATTATGTGTTGAAGAGCAGGTAATACTTATAAATTTGTATTATATTCATCACAGTTACCAAAAGATTTTTTCCCTCCCTTTCACACCTCTTTGTACAAAATCTTTTTATATTTACATAATCAAATCCATCTATTTTGTCTTTAGTAAACCTGTCCATTTATTCAATAAGGTAACACTTTTTCTTCCTTCCAATTAAATCTTTGCAGTGTTTGGATCTTTGTTCTGGTTGAAATTTATTGTTGCATATCTTGTAAGGAATGCATCTAAAATCAATTTTTCATGATACTTCTATCCAATTTTCCCAACAATTTTTAATGATTCCTTTCTCCAGCATTTTGTAATCTTGAGTTTATCAAACACTGGCCTATAAATGTTTGGTTCCATTTCTGTATTCTCTCTTTTTGTCCACTGAGCTTTTTGTCTATCTTTTCTTTTTCCATCAAAACCATCTGGTATGGATGAGTACGCCTTTAAAAAACACTTGAAATTTGGCATTCTTCTCCATCAATTTTATTCATGGTTCCCCTTGATATTTTTGGATCTGCATTGATAGAGGGAGATTTCTTCTCTGGGAAGGAAGGGAGGGAGTGAGGAAGGAAAGAAGGAAGGAATAAAGAATGAATTTACTAAGTACCAGTCACAGTGCTAAGTGCTTTACAAACCTCAGAAGTCTGGGAAGTAGGTGTGATTATTATCATCACTTTACATATGAGAAAACTGAGGCAGATTAAGGTTAAATGACTTGCCTAGGGTCACACAGCTAGTAAGTATTTGAGGCAGGATGTGCACTCATTTCTTCTTGACTCCAGGCCCAGCAGTCTATATACCACACTACCTACTTTCCTGCATCAGTGAAATTACAGGTTACCCTATGTTGTGCAATGGGGATACTGTAAAACAGCTCCTATCTAATTTGTATCTGCATTGCTTCCAAGTGTTTTTTGATTGAGTTACTTTCTGAGCTTGTTTTTCTGTGTTTGTACTACCCTTTTATTGATCCAGCTTTGAGCTATGTCTTTCTTTCTATATTTACTAATTACTCTATGCTGTTGTCTGTTTTAGTGAGCTTTGCCATCATCTCTTGCCAAGACTTTCTTAGCTGAATTCTCTTTCATTATTTTCTCCTGGGACTTCATAGATTCATTCATTTCTTTTTTTTTTCAAACTTGTTCTCTTACCCCCCCATTTTAATTTTTCCTTGTGAAATATTTATGATTGAATCGGTTTACAGAGTGGAAATACAAAATACAATTGTAATGTAATAGTGTGTGTATTTATCATGTTCAAGACGAATAATTCCTTGAGTGTTAACCTATTTGAGTGTTTTTTCCAATATTTCTTGCATCAGTTCTTATGCTGCGCCTGATACTGTTTTGATGTACATTTATTCTGATGCTTTTCCCTCTATTTCTCTTAAACTGTAACAAAGATTTTCAAAATCAGGTTTAATTTTTTCAATTAACAATCATTTATTTTCTCTCCTTACCTCCCTTCTTTGTACTGCAAAAAAAAAGAAAGAAAAGAAAAACAAAATTCTTGTAACAAATATACCTAGATAAGCAAAACAGATTCCCATATTGGCAACATACAATGATGTGTGTTTCATTCTGCATGTTTATTTCATCCTCTCCTTGTTAGGAGGTGGGCAGTATTCTTCATCACTAGTTCTCTGGAATCATGACTGGTCACCAAGGTGATCAGAGTTCTAAAGCCATTTTTCAATGTTGTTATAATATTTTGATTTCTAAAAATTGTAGCAGAGCTCTTCTTTGTTTCACTCATCTTATTTTTGGTGAGGTATAATTTTCTTATGGGAGTTTCTAACAATTGTGTCTATTTTCTGTGTTCTTTCTGAAGTGGCATTATGAGGCATGTGGCTTGCTTATGACTTCGCATTCTTCTTTCTTGCTGGAAATCCCAAAGTTGTCTTTTGTGTGTTATGTATACTCTTCATAGGCCATTGATGGCCTTTGTATAAATTAATTGTGACATATATTTATGCCCATTTTATTGAACTTGGGACATACTTTTTCTTTTCTGATTATGGCAGGTTTATCATTGTTGTAACTTAGATTTTTGAACGTTGTTGGCCACAGTTATAATATCTTTAGAATTATAGATCCAGAGCTAGAAGAACCCTTGGCAGTCATCTAGTTCTTTGATTTTGAGTTCTTGGTAAGGTCTATAACTCCTAATTGTGACCTTAATGCTGTAGAAAAATACAATGTACTTTATAATGATCAGCTTTGTATTGCTGCTTTTAGGCACATAAAGTGGCTTAAAGTGGGCGCTGCCCAGATTTTTGTTATGATTAACTGTCTAGTGGAATATTTTTGGTTGAATTGGCTTACAAAGTGGAAATAAAAAATACAATTGTAACGTAATAATGTGTGTATTTATCATGTTCAAGACAAATAATTTTTTTAACCTTGCTTTTTTTTCCTCCTATTTTATGTAATATTTTATTTTTCCCCAATTACATGTAAAACCAATTTTCAACATTCATTTTTAAAATTGAGTTCCAAATTCTCTCTCTCCCTCTCTACCCCCCTCATTGAGAAGGTAAGCAGTTTGATATAGGTTATGCATGTGTGGTCATGCAAAATATATTTCCATGTTAGTCATGTTGTAAAAGAAAACATAGGCAAAAGTAAAAACCCAAGAAATACAGAGAAAGTTAAAAAAAAAAGGTATGCTTTGATCTGTATTCAGATTTTATTAGTTCTTTTTCTGGGGATGGATAGTATTTTTCACTGTTAAGTCCTTCAGAGTTGTCTTGGATCATTGTATTGCTGAGAATAGTCAAGTCATTTACAGTTGATCATCTTACAATATTGTTGTTACTAGATACAATGTTCTCCAGGTTCTACTCATTTCACTTTGCATCAGTTCATGTAAGTCTTTCTAGGTTTTTCTGTGAGCACCTGGCTCATTATTTCTTATAGCACAGTAGTATTCCAATATAATCATATACCACAAATTGTTCAGCCATTCCCCAATTGATGGGCATCCCCTCAATTTCCAATTCTTTGCCACCAGAAAAGAACTGCTATCAATATTTGGACATTTGGACATAGTTCCAAATTGCTCTACATAATGGTTGAATCAGTTTACAACTCTACCAACAGTACATCAGTGTCTCAATTTTCCCACATCCCCTCCAATATTTGTCATTTTCTTTTTCTGTCCTATTAGCCAATCTAATAGATGTGAGGTAGTACATCAGAATTGTTTTACTTTGCATTTCTCCAATCAATAGTGATTTAGATAATTTTTTTCATATGGCTATAGATAATTTTGATTACTTCATCTGAAAACTATTTGTATTTTTTGATCATTTGGGGAATGACCTGTATTTTTATAAATTTGACTCATTTCTCTATATATTCGAGAGAGGAAGCCTTTATCAGAGAAACTTGCTTCAAAAGTTTTTTCACAGTTATGATTACTAATTTATTTCCCTCCATTCTATTCCCCCCGCCCATTTATTGTATTGTCTCTCTCCTTTCACCCTTTCCCTCCTCAGAAGTGTTTTGCTTCTGACTACCCCCTCCCCCAATCCCCTCTCCCTTCTATGAGCACCCCTACTTCTCTTATCTCCTTCCCTTTCTACTTTCCTTAACCTCGCTTTCTTAACTTCAATAAACGTTATTGCTGTTAAGTTATGATTATGATAAATGTTATGATTTAGGAAAGATGGTACAAAGTTGTAACTCACTTGTAAATCTGGTTATTTCCACTCCATTCCTTTTAATGCCTCCAGGCTGGAGACGACAAATTTAACAGAGCCAAACTCCTGAATGTTGGCTACCTAGAAGCCCTTAAGGAAGAAAAATGGGATTGTTTTATATTCCATGATGTGGATCTGATACCAGAGAATGACCTTAACCTCTATATGTGTGAGGCTCATCCAAAACACCTGGTGGTTGGCAGAAACAGCACTGGCTACAGGTAGGAGTGGTATTGTCAACAGTTCACTTTTGTTACCTTGTTATTAACCTCTTTCCTGATGCCCTTTAGTTCTAATGTCTTCCCTCTGTGGATTGTCTCTAATTTGTCCTGTTTATATCTTCTGTGATCATAGTTGTTTTCATGTGGTCTCTCCCTTTAGACTCTGAGCTCCTTGAAAATAGGGACTGTCTTTAATGTCTTTAACACTTAACACAGTGCCTGACACATGGAGGGGCTCAATAAATACTTACTGACTGACTGACCAAGGTCTTTTGGGGTAATATTTTGAATATAATGCCTCAGAGAAACTAGAAACACTAACCTTTCAATGGATAGTGCCTGGTGACTCCTGACTGAGTTTTACTGTTGGTTATTTTGACTTAACAACATTTAACAGTAAAGGGGTTTAAAAATGGGGAAAGTGAGGACGTAGGAAGAGCTGGAGGGACCAGAAATGTTAGTTAATTGAAACAGCAGGCAAAGGACTGACAAAACATGGCACTATTCACATAATAGTTTTTAAAAAGTTGGTTAAATGTAATTGAACTATAATATCTGCAGCTAACATTTTTTCAGAGGTTCTTAACCTGGGGTCTGTGGGCTACTAATAAATAGATTTCAGAGGGTTTGTGAAGTTGGATGGGAAAAACCCTTTGTGGATGGGAAAAACATTTTTGTTTTTACTCTTCAGTAGCTGAAATTTGGCATTTCTTTCAATTATTAAAAATCTTGGCATAGCTAGGTGGTACAGTGGATAGAGCACTGTCCCTGGAATCAGGAGGACCTGAGTTCAAATCCTGGCTCAGACACTTGACACTCACTAGCTGTGCGAACCTGGACAAGTCACTTAACCTCAATTGCCTCAACAACAACAACAAAAAAATCTTATTCTGAGAAGAGGTCCACACAATAAAACACTACATTGGGGAGCTTGGTGTCACAGTGGATAGAGCACCAGCCTTGGAGTCAGGAGGATTTGAGTTCAAATTCTGCCTCAGACACTTACTAGGTGTGTGACCCTGGGCAAATCATTTAACCCCAGTTGCCTTCCCCGAAAACCCAGAAAAAAATAAACCAAGAGAGCAAAACACTACGCTGAATGAAGATCACCCTCTGCTTCACCTCTGAGCATACTTTTGATCAGTCTTCAGGGTGTAGGGCTATTACCAGACTATTAAAGATCTTGGAAGCAGCACCATTCTTTAGGTCTACTTCCTGTGGCTTTTTCCTAGCACAGACCTTTTTGAATAATCCTTGGGGTTATTAATGGTGTGTCTTGAAAATCTTGTTGAGAATTAAGGGGAGGGTAGGGCGCAGCTAGGTGGCACAGTGGGTAGAGCATTGGCCCTGGAGTCAAGAGGACCTGAGTTCAAATTCGGTCTCAGATACTTTCTAGCTATGTGATCCTGGGCAAGTCACTTACCCCCCCCCCCCCAAAAAAAAAGAATTAAAGAGCAAATACTACTTCACAGCTGGATAAGCACTTGGGACACTCAGTCCCTATGAGAGCCAGTATGGTATAGTGGTGAGTATGCTGGACATGCAGTCAGGAGGACCTGGGTTCATATCCTGCTTCTAACACACTTACTATCTCTGTGACCATGGTCAAGTACCTTAAACTCTCAAGGTCTCAGTTTCTTCATCTGTAAAATGAGGGGGTTGGACTCAGTGACCTTTCAAGTTTTCTTCTAGCCCTAAATCCTATAATAAGACAAGATAAGATAAATGAGGGAGGCAGTGGGAAGTAGTGTGGACTTAGGTTCAAATCCTGCCTCTGATGTCTTGTGGAATCTTTTTTTTTGGCTAGGCAGTGGGGGTAAGTGACTTGCCCAGGGTCACACAGCTAGTGAGTGTTTTGTGTCTGAGGCCGGATTTGAACTTGGTTATTCCTGAATCCAGGGCCAGTGCTCTATTCACTGTGTCCCCTAACTGCCCCAGTTTTGTGGGATCTTGAACAAGTTCCCTTAACTCCCTGGACCTCAGTTTCCTCAAATGTGAAACGAAGGGTTTTGACTGTATGACGGCTGAGATCCTTTCCAGTTCTAGATCTGATTTTTTTTTTTAAGTACACTGTAAGAAGTACTAGGTGAATTAGAGGCTTCCCTTAGGGCTCCCAGTCTAAGGGCGTAGCTGCTTCTCCCTGCCTTGAGTCAGACCACATACTACCCACAGAACTGAGGGAATGGCGACTGTGGGTTTGCCATTCCCCACCAACCTGTGTTGACTTCCCTGGAGGTATATTCACAACTTGGCCTTCCTAAGCTTTTACCTCAGAAAGAAAACTACAGGTCTCTTCCTTGTCTTGACCAGTCTGGCCTTGGTGTGTCTTTTCAGAGTCTTGGCCTCTAGTTATTTGATCTCATAAGATGTAGTATTTGTTAGACATCCTGCATACAGATGCCTCCTGATCTTTCTTGCCTGGTTTTGCAGGTATGAAATCCCTCAAACAGCTGGCATTTCAGTCATATAATTGTTGTCTCCTGCTGTTGGCCATCTACTTTTTACGCATAGAAATACACTCAGTTTATTTACTACGTGATACACACAGCCATACACATATGTGGACAGATAGGGGACACCCACATACACACACACACACACACCCCCACACATATTCTCACAAGCAGCTGAAACACAGATACATACTTAGAGAAATGATGGATTGACTATTATTGGTTATCCTCCATAGGGTGACCAGCATCCATCACCTTGTACAGGGCCAACACCTAGAGTAGTGGATTGCTAGGCCCTACCCTGGCATAGTTGGACTCTTGGTTCTCTTCCAGCCTGCAATGTTTTTACAAGGCATCAGAACCCTTTAGGAATGAGGAGTCTGGACCAGGTGTGCCCCTGAGGGGACATTCAGCTTCCATATTGGGTAGGTGGGTGGGTGATGGCAAGGGGAAGAAGAGGGAATTCATATTTTTGACTGGGGTCAGGGTATTTTTAAAAATTAACACTTATTAATTTTTTTTTCCTTTTTACCATATCTTCGTGCCCCTTTCCCACTCCCCCCCATCTCCCCCACCCTCTTACTTCCTGCTCAAGGGTTGGGGTGGTGGGGAAGAAAAATGAAATCCTCGTTAAAAATCTGCATAGTCAAACAAGCTCTCACATTGGTCATGTCCAAAAAATATGTCTCATTCTGCATCTTGGCAGCATGCTTTATTATCATTCTTTTGGAATCTGTTTGGTCATTGCATTTTTTTTCTTTTGATTTCTAATGCAGTAAAAGTTCAATGATGCAGTCTAAGGGCGTCATCTGACCTGTACTAATTGGTGGTGATATGGGGTTGGATTTTCATGGAAGTATGCCCCTTTGTCTGTGTTATTTGCATTTATTAATTTGTATGCAAGGATGGCAAATATTCCCTAAGGGGCAATTGGATATAATAATCTATGATGCAAATAGATATACTGATACCTGGACATCCATGCATTCATTCATTCATTCATACATACATACATACACATTTACATACATACATATGCAAGCATGAAAAAGAGGAAATAAGTAGATAAGATGGTACCTTGTTTGGTGAATGAGGGAGGGAATAGGTTAAAAAGGTAAGTAAAGAAAGTTGGAAGTTAGATGAGGCTAAGAAAATTGGTTGATAGTTGACAGTTTGACCTCAAAACATTCACAGGATATTAGTAAGGAAAGCACAGAATATATGTGGTGTTTATGGGAATTAGTTTGCTTTGTACTCATTCTTTTTTCCTCTGTACTTTTTTCTAATCTACAGATTGCGTTATAAGGGATATTTTGGAGGTGTTACTGCTCTAACAAGAGACCAATTTTACATGGTGAATGGATTCTCCAACAACTACTGGGGCTGGGGTGCAGAAGATGATGACCTCAGAATCAGGTGAATCAACAGAGAACAGCCCTCTTTGTGGCCTAGTGTAGGGGTACCTATGTTGGCAGATACCATATTACAGCTGGGTTCCAATTAGTTCAGATAATGAATCCCTAAAGTAGTCATATATTTCAAATCCACTGTGCCACCGAGCTGCTCCCCAGATAGTATGGATTTGAAATATATGACTACTTTAGGGATATAGGAAGAAATGAAAGAGTGGGCTTCATTTATGCCCACAGGCCTCATTTATAAAGTGGGAACACACTGGAAATGCCCTTGTATTGTGTTTTCCAAGTCTATACCTATACCTAACACCAACAACTTCGTTTTTTAAAAAATTGCATTTTTTAAATTCAAAAACAAAACATTTATTTTCTCTCCTTACCTTTCCCCACCAGTACCCACCCCTATTTAGAAAGAAAAAAGAAAAAGAAAAACAAAACCTTTGTGACAAATATACATAGTAGGGCAAAACTAATTCCTGAATTGATCACATCTAAAAATGTCTCATTCTGCATATTGAACCCATTACCTGTCTGTCAGGAGGTGGGTAGTGTTCTTCATCATTGGTTCTCTGGAATTATGGCATAGCCATTGTGTTGTTCAGTGATTGTTTTTGAGTCTTCCAAAATTTTTCATTTTTATAATGCCTGCAGCTTTCCATTGATTGAGAAATACCCTGTGGTCTACTAAAGCATGCAAATATCTGTTTAGGGGTAGCTATCCTTACCCCATCCAGGGTTAAGTCTACATAATCGCCGCCTGCATGAGGATGGCCCACTTGGTGCCTAGAGAAGACCCTTGCTGCGGGGTCTAACAGTCCTCAGAGAAGACAGTTGCCAGAGAATTCCATTCTCAGCTCTGTGACATGGGCTCAGCTGCAAGGGATTTTGGATCCTGATATGTAGGGACTCAGGGATGTCAGATAAGAATAAGGAAATGTTTGCCCTCAGCTCTTGCAGTTCCTTCAATGATTGATTCAACTTGGCCAAATTAAGTACCTGCTTTGTGAAAGACAATGTGCTTGGGGCTAGAATTCCAAGGGGAAAGAATACAGAATTTTCATTCATTTTTAAAAAATTTTGATTTCCAAATTCTTTCCCTCCTTCCCCTCCTCACCTTACCACTCCCTGAGATGGGTAAGCAATTTGATAAAAGTTATTATTATTTTTTTTTAAAGGCAGCTGGGGTTAAGTGACTTGCCCAGGGTCACACAGTTAGTAACTGTCAAGTGTTTGGTCTAAGGCCAGATTTGAACTCAGGTCCTCCTGACTTCAGGGCCGGCACTCTATCCACTGTGCCACCTAGCTGCCCTGATAAAATTTATACATGTGTAATCACATATAACATATTTCCAAATTAGTCATGTTGTGAAAGAAAATACAGACCAAAAAAAAAAAACCAAACCATGAGAAAAAATAAAGTGGAAAAATAGTATGCTTTGATCTGCATTCATACTCTATCAGTTCTTTCTCTGGAGGTGGATAGCATTTTTCATCATGAGTCCTTTAGAATTATATTTGATCATTGCATTGCTGAGAGGTGCTAAGTCATTAACAGCTGATAATCACACAATGTTGTTACTGTGCACAGTGTTTCGGTTCTGCTCACTTCACTTTGCATCAGTTCATTTAAGTCTTTCCAGGTTTTTCTGAACAAGTCATGGTATATAATTGTAATGAAATACTATTATGCTATAAGGAATGACAATCAGTATGACTTCAGAAAAAAATATATTTTCTTGAAATAAAGAAATAATTTTTTATTAATTTATTTTGATTTATCAACAGTCACTTCCATTAGCTTTTGAGTTTTAAATTTTTCTCCACCTCCCTCCCCAAGATGGTGTGCAATGTGATATAGGCTATACATATACATTCCTATTAAACATATAGAAAAATATATTTCTAAATAAGTGTGATAAAAGTAGAATCAGGGAGGAGGGAGAGTTGGGGGATAGTGATAGTATAGAAAAAAAAAGAAAACATCAATGAATCACTAAAAAATAAGAGGAAGAGAGCAAAAAAAAAGTTCAAAAAGGGACACAGACAAGCTGGGAAATCTTAGAACTACCATGTTAATTTTGAAATGTTAAAAGTAAAACAAGCTGTACCAGCTGTAAATTCATATGCAGCCTTCCTTTTATATTCTTCTTTGTATAGGGAAATATTCGTTGTTATTTCTTAAGTTCATAATAATAAAAAGGATAGAAAGTAATAATGACAGTAGCTAACATTTATATTGTGTTTACCATGTGCCAGGCACTGTGCTAAGTGCTTTGCGATTATTATCTTACTTTATCCTCACAACAACCCTGGGAGGTAGGTGCTGTCCTTATCCCCATTTTACAGATGGAAACTGAAGCTGGATTTGAACTCCAGTCTTCCTGACTCCAGGCTCAATGTTTTATCTACAGTACCACCTAGCTGCCCGGAGAGAGAGAGAGAGAGCAAGGACTATTGCAAGGTAGTTTGGTATAGTGGATGAGGTACTGTACTTGGAGTCAGGAGGATCTGATTTAAAATCCTGCCTCAGGCATTTAGTAGCTTTTTGTTTCAGGGCAAGTCATTCACCCTTTTTGTGTCTCAATCTCATCATCTGTAAAGTGGAGGGGCTAGACTCAATGACCCTTTATGTCCCTTCCAGCTCTAAATTTAGAATCCTATGACATTTGTATTTGTATTTCCAGTACTTAGTGACATACCTTTCACATAATAAGTACTCAGCAAATTTTTGTTGACTTGCTTGTTGAACTGAACCTTAAAGGAACAGAAGACGAGACAGAATTTTCAAGTAGGAAAAGCACTGTATTTGAAGTCCGAAAATTCTATTTTTTGAACCCTACTTTGCTACATAATACCCATGTGACATGGGCGAGTCACCTGTGGGGCAAGACTGATAATAATGTCTGTGATGTTACTCGTATAGTGATATGGCCATGGGGACTGAGATTTTTCTTAATTTGCCTTTTTCAAGGACCTTGCAGTCTCAGTAGGAGGTTTTGGACAAATATAATTAGTAAACCATAGGATCATAGATTTAGAGCTGAAAGGGAACTTAGAGGCCCTCAAGTACAGTGCCTTCATTTTAAAGATTGAGAAAACTGAGGCACAGAGAAGTTAAATCAACAAGCCCCATGCCTGTCTCATCATCGAGCTCTGTGGAATTCCTCTTTGGTGTTTGATTAGTGTTACATGGTGCTTTTCTTTTTGTAGGGTGGAGATACAAGGGATGAAAATATCTCGGCCACCTCCTTCCATAGCCAAATACACAATGATCTTCCATGCTAGAGATAAAGGCAATGAGGAGAACTCGGAAAGGTAAGCTCTGGGTTTGTAGTCATAAAGAAATGAATTTTCCAGTGAACCCACTAAACCAGGATTGTGTTTAAGGCAATGAGGAAGACCCAGTACTTGGATAAGATCAGTTCTTCCAACCATTAACAAGATCACAATGAAAGTGTCAACTTCTGTCTCCTCAGGGAGCACCCTCTCCCCTCTGCTCTCCCACTAAATTCCTTCTTTCCCAGTAGTTAGTCAAGTAGCATTTATCAAGTATGTACTAAGTGCTAGGCTTCATCCTAAGAGCTGGGGATACAAAAAAAAGGCAAAAGACTGGCCCTTTTTTTTTTTTTTTTACAGTCTAATGGAGGAGACAACATGTGAACACCTATGTACAGACAAGATTTATACTGGATATATTTGGGGTAGTCTCAGAGGGAAGGCCCTAAGAGTAAAAAGGCCTGGGAAAGGCTTTTTTTTTGAAGAAGTGGGATTTTAGCTGGACTTTAAGGAAGCCAGGAATCAGAGATGATGAGGAAAAGCATACCAAGCAAACTTACATAAAGTAAGAAAACCCTTTTTGACCATTGCAGACTGGCACTTTTGATTCAACTTATAACCTTAGAGAGTTACCTAGAAAACCACGGGGTTAAATGACTCACCCAGAGTTACACCACCAATAAATGTCCAAGGTGGGACTTGAACCCAGGTCTTCCTTTCTTTCTGTCCCACTGTGCAGAAATGTAAAATAGAACATGTGTCTACCAGGAAACAGTTGAATTTGGTGGTTCTGCAAGAGGGCTTGCATACTTTCTTCAGGAATGTTGGCAGGAGAACTATGGAAGTTGAATTGCTATTTTTTTTCTCTTCTGCTGAGTTTTGTTTCCTCTTTCTGATGGTTTTAATTTTTACCTACAACATCACTAATGTGAAAATATGTTTAATATGTAAATGTATAGCCTATATCAGATTGTGCACCGTCTTGGGGAGGGTGGTGGGGAGGAAGGGGGAGAAAAATTTTTAACTCAAAAGCATATGGAAGTGATTATTGATAAATCAAAATAAATTAATAATAAAAAAAAGGAATGTTGGCAAGAGTAAAGGTTAATATCCGGACATGTAATTCTGTATAACCTTATCTTTTTCACTTTTTTTTTTAAATGTTTAGGATGAAGCTATTAAAGCAGGTGTCACGAGTTTGGCGAACAGATGGACTGAACTCCTGTTCCTATAACCTGCTGTCTGTGAAACACAATCCTTTATATATCAACATCACAGTGAATTTCCTTGTGACTCCATAATCCTGCATTATTCCGTTGAGGTTATTTTGGGGAAAAATAGAATCTCCAGTTGCAGTAGTTATTGTAATGTCTGGAAATGTTGAACCTGACATTCCCCCCCAACCCCAGCCATTCTCGCCTCTGTCACTGAGCGGTAGACACGATGAAGAACTGGCTGCTGGGTGTGACTAGTTTGAATTTTTCCTTCTTGTTTTTTGTGAGAAGCATTGCTGATGGCATGGAGGGAGTAAGGCTATTGGAAGAGAAAAGTTCTCTTACAGATGAGCGTAAGCATGAAAGAGAAGGGCCCTGTGTGGCACAGAGCGAGAGCTGTTCAGGAGCATTTGTTGAACGCGATTTGGAAAAGTGACAGCTTAGGGATCCGAAGGTGTGGGCTGCAGGAGACAGCATTACCAGATTGTCAGAGGAGTCAGAGCTGCTCTTGGGAGCGACGGAAAGGTAGAAAGATTGACGAGTGTCACTAGATGAAGCCGACTCGGAGACCTCTGAGGGGGAGGGCATCAGGTGGAGGAGTAGAGAGAAGCAAAGTACAGGCGAGGGAAGGCCTGACAAGCATCACTGGAATAGAAATGAGTAGCTGAGCAAAGGTACGGGAGAGCGTGTTTGAGGGAGAGGAGGCAGTGGGGAAAGTGGGTTGTAGTTCCTTCCTCCCTGTATATTCTACCTCATGTAACTAGTCTCCTCTTCTGCCTCTCTGGGGTGAGGTCAAATAAGGTAGCCCTTTGAATAGGATGCGACAAGTTAGGGAAGCCTTCTTAGAAGAGGAAGTTTTTTTTTAACCAACTCTTCATTTCCCTCTGCTATGTCCCTTTCATTCAGACTTCACCACCCCGTTATCTGAAGCTTCCTACTACTTTGCCTGCAGTCACTTTGTTATCACTCAGATCATTTCCTCTTCTCTTTAGTTTATTAGTTTAAGTTTCTGGACTTCTGGCTATTCCTGATCTTTGGGGTTTGTTTTTTTTCTCCCTGATTTTGTTCTGTAACTGCTTAGCTCTGTGCATTTTCCCAGGCCTTCTCCATGGACTCCATACACATCTCCATTTATTGATATCCTTCTCCTTCTAGAGCCTTGTTTAGGTGCTACTTCTTCCAAGAAACACTCTGCCACTACCCACCAGCTTAAAGTCCTTTCTCCCTTCCATATTCTAGAACACTTTGCCTGATCTCTTTTGCTCTTTTCCCATTCTAAGAGCACTAGATTTAGAGTCACAGAACCTTAGTTTCAAGCTCTTGTTAGCTGTGTGACCTTGATTAAGTCACTGACTTGGACCACTGACTTCTGGACCACACCTTCGTTGAAATGAGAAGAATCCGATTAGATGATCCCGGTGCTCCCTCCCAGCTCTAACTCATGATTCTACCTTGTATCATACTCATTTGTGTATCTCTTGTCCCCGATGTTAGTTTGCAAGCCTCTCAAGGGCAGGGATTGTGACATTTTTCATCTTGAGTTGAATTAAGTTGAATCATCTGTTTTTTATATTTGTTCCTCCTGCTCACTCAGATTCAATTCTCGGGACTCTTCTTTACCTGCCACTATTTGACTAGGGGCCTAGGCTACTGATAGTCCCATGGCACTTGGAGGAGCTTGCATTTTCCTGTGTCAGTTTATTCCTTGGTCTTACCATAGGGACTGGCATGATTGCTATTATTACTCTGCTCTCAATTAAGCAGCCAACAGCACTTGCTTGGGAGTGTTCTTTATCTATTACTAGTAATAGGAGATAACATGTTGCCTACTAATTTTTCTAGATATTTTTTAATAAAAACTTTTTTTACATGTAGTTTTTGAATCAACAGTAATTTTGTTATAACCACAATGTATGTCCAAAGGGACTTTTGGAGTCAGTATTTTAATATTTCAAAAGATCTGTGCTTTTGTCAGTTATTGTCCACTGATGCAGATCATAACCTTTCCACACTTTTGTGTGGGTCTTAGTGAGGTTGCTGTATTTAAAAAGAAAAGTCATTGCCTAGGTAGGATGGGGAACCTGCGGCCTCAAGGCTGCATGTGGCCCTCTAGGTCCTCAAGTTCAGTCAAAGGGCTGCACTTGAGGACTCAAAAGGCTACTTGTGGCCTTGAGGCTGCAGGTTCCCCACCCCTGAGTCCTTGAGGCTAACATTCTAGTGATAGGCCCCTCTCAAACATAAAACCAAGCTGGTGCTTACCTTGGACAGTAGACAACAAAGTTCATTCATTGCTGGGCCTTCTCATAAAGCCTTTACAGTGTAGAGCTTGACAGGAGTTGTCACAGCTTGGTCTCTGGTTCTTCTAGGGTTATTTTGAAATCTCAATGCAGTAACAGAATACAAGGAAGTAGCTCTCTTGATTTGCGCCACCTCAGTGGTGTGTTTAAAGAATCATATCCTGCTGATTGAATGCATATATCCTCTGGGTGAAAAATTCTCTGAAACCCATGTGGTATTTTCTTGCTAAAATCTCCAGGGCTACTAGTGAGCTTTATGCTTTAGAAGACAGTCAGATAGCAGAATCCCTTGGTTGAGAGAGATTATCTTTTGTCTGTCTTGTTTCTCTTCTATTCATAGCTTTCTGTTTCTATGTTTCTGTCCTAAATTAGTTTAGCTATTAGGGAGTCATCACCTCATCACCGCTGCTGGGCATTCTTCTCTGATGATTCTTTGCCTGCATGTGGCTCATCTGTCTGGATGCTTTGAGGGAATAAGTATCCTTTTTCATATTCAAGCCTAATACTTCCAGTGCCTGGCTTTTTAAATATCTCCAGTGGCATTAGATTAACTTTCCCTCTGTTCCAGTTTTTTGTTTTTTTTTTGTTAATCATCCTTTTGGTGAGGGAAATTAATATGAAGCAATGGGAGGATGTTTCATTCTTCCCATATGGCATAAATATTCTGTTTCAAACAGCCCTATTGAAAAGCACTGGGTATTCAATTATATTCATATTATTATTCAGCTCTTATAAATTAATTCACTTTAATCACAATGAAGCCAAGGACATCAGGGGTATGACTGATCCCCAGGAATGTTAGTATCCCCTCCAAACCATAAACTCTGCTGTCAGCCTGGCCCACAACTATCATCCAGGAAAACAAACCTTATGGAAAAGGGGAGCCTGCCATCCTCTCCCACCAATCACCAACCAACTGCCACCATGAGGTGGCAGGGCAGACAACAGGGCAGACAAGCCAGCCTGGCCAAACAGACAGGAAGCACCATGTTTCAGGTGGGTTACACCACCGCCACCTCTCCTTGGACTTTGGTGGAGATAGCCCAGGATCCAGAGTCCAAAAGACTGGGAAATTGCAGGACCCCAGTCCTACTTCAAGCCTGGCTGTAGCAGACTCAGGAAGAAGCTTTGGCAGGAATGTTACCACCATAGCCAATATTTCTGGAACTCCCTTTAATTCCTATAACTCCCTTGTCCCAAGTGAGTTATCAAAGCAGCTGTATGTGTAGCTTTCTCCCCTTCCTTTCTAGCACCACCCCTTGTTTTCCCCTGCACTTTAGGAAGGCAGGTTTCCTATTATCCTCAAAAAAAAAAAAAAAAAAAGCTAGTGTTAATTGTCTATTGCGGGGTGGGGCAGGAGACTTTAATTTATCTAAGACACATTTACGCACCATAACTTCTACAGGCAATAAAATATCCATACAGCCAACTACTAGGATCTCCAGAGGTCGCTTTGCAATAGTATCCTCTCTGAAGGGTTTTTAATATGCACCCTTTGGTACTTTGTGCATCATTGCATCATCACCTTTTTGCCTCTGACACTCATTTGGTGTAAGGTGTTCATCTTCTGCCCACGAATACTGCATGATGGTTTTCAAAATGCCACAAAAGAGCAAGAAGCCTTAGCTTCTGCACTGTGCCAGTGCTGGTAATTGGCAGCATCCCAATGGAGGTGTTGATGTTGAATTAGATTATGATGAAAAATTAAAGAATGAGCCTAAGTGTTTGTGCTTATTTGGGGATTGGTGGGAGGCTTTAGGGAGTAATATCCAATAATGAAAGATGTTACCCATCTGTGCTCAGGAAGTGAGCAGGGAAAAAAATGTGAAGGTAACAAAGGCAGAAACTTGTTGGGAAGCCTCCAGCAATTAGGGAAATTAAATTTTGAAACATCAAGAGTTTGGAGGCAGCCATGGAGTAATGTTTAGAGAGTTGACCTGGGAGCCAGGAAGATCAGTGATTAACTTCTGCCTCTGATCCATCTTGGCCGTGTGACCCTGGACAAAGTATTTGACCACTTGGTGCACCGGTGGTGTCAAACACTAAACTGTACATACGGACCCCTGTGGGCTGCATATTGACTTAGAAGATCACATGTTTATATATTTCTTTTTTTATTAATTTATCAACACATTACTACTAATGAAGTCACAGCTCTAGGCTCTATCACCAGGAGCTTAGTATAGCTGTCAATCATCTTACTGAGCCTAGAAACACCTGGTGGTTTTGCCTAAGCTGCTATAGAGTGGTCACTCTGAAAAACTCAGTGTTACTGCATGGCAGCTGATATTTGTGAGGCAGTAAAATGTTGACATCTCTTGTGTCAACCATTAGGCCAGATGCATGGAGTAAAAATCACCATAATGTTTGTGTATGAATTTTATAGGGTTAAGGCCCTAGAAAAATTCATTAAAAGTAGGTACACAGAAAAGAGTAAGTTCTAGAGCTGTATAGTATAAAACTTACTGATAACATACATTGCATCTAAACTGGACTGATATTGGTCATTAATCTGTGGTGTATACTACCTTGTGAGGAGGGTACAGGGTATCACAGTGATTCTTGGCATCATAAGCAGTATTTGAATTGGATTAATCTCAAGAGTTTGAGAGTGGGAAGGGGACCCAGTGGTCATCCAGTCCAACCCATATGTGAAAAGATTCCCTGCTATAATGTCAGTAAAAAAAACATTAAACACCTACTGTATGCATGCTGGGTACTATGATAGGTGCTAGGGATACAAAAAAGTGAAACCAACCTTTTTAAAAAATTGGTTTTCAACAATCACTTCCATACACTTTTGAGTTTTAAATTTTTCTCTCCCACCCCGCCTCCTTCCCCAAGATGGCATGCAATCTGATATAAGCTCTACATATACATTCCTATTAAACATTTTCACATTAGTGATGTTGTAAAGAAGAATCAGAACCAATAGGAGGAACCACAAGAAAGAGGAAACAAAACAGAAGAAAAAAAAGAGCAAATAGTATGCTTTGATCTGCATTCAAACTCCGTAGTTCTTTGGATGTGGATAGCATTTTCCATCATGAGATCCTTTTTTGGAGATCCTTGCATTGCTGAGAAGGGCTAAGTCTATCAAAGTTAGTGGCTGTTATTGTGTACAATGTTCTCCTGGTTCTGCTCACTCTTCACTCAGCATCAGTCCATACAAGTCTTTCCAGGTTTTTCTGAAGTCCACTTGCTCGTCATTTCTTATAGCAAAATAGTATACCATTGCATTCATATACCACAACTTGTTAAGCCATTCCCCAATTGATAAGTATCCCCTCAATTTCCAATTCTTTGTCACCACAGAAAGAGCTGCTATAAAAATTTTTGTACATGTGGGTCCTTTTCTAGTTTGTGTAATTTCTTTGGGATATAGCCCTAGAAGTGGTATTGCTGGGTGAAAGGGTATGCACATTTTTATAGCCATTTGGGCATAGTTCCAAATTGCTCTCCAAAATGGTTGGATCAGTTCACAACCTCACGAACAATGCATTAGTGTTCCAATTTTCCCACATCTCCAACATTTATCATTTTCCTGTTTTGTCATTTTGGCCAATCTGATAGGTGTGAAATCAACTTTCAAGGAGTTTACTGCCTCTCCTAACTGGGAAAGATGAGTACATATACAAGGTGTTCCAAAAGTCTTAGTGCAATCTTAAGCTTTAATAGTTTAAGGGAAAGGAAGAGTATGGAAAGGAAGGAAAGGGAAGGAGAAAATATGGAAGAGAAGGTTAAGAGTATCAAAAGAAAGGAAAACTTCAATAGTTTAAATCTATGCTAAGACTTTTGGAACACCCTCCATAAGTGTATATGAAATAAGTATGAAAAGAATAAATACAAATAATATACCTGACAAGGAGTTATTCAGTCTTTGGTTGAAGACTTCCAAAGAAGGAGAAACCATCATCTCTGGAAGCAGGCCATTCCACTTTTGGACAACTCTCATTATTGGGAAGTTTTTCCTGACATCAAGCCTAAATTTATATTCTTTTTGCCATTTTCACCCAATTGCTCTTGATTCTGCCCTCTGGGGCCAAAATAGATAAAATCTCCTTCCCCTCCTGTATTAATCACAGTCCTTTGGATGCTTGAAAATAGCCATTGTGTCCTACCCATCTCCACTTCTTCAACTGATATTCATGTCACTTGGAGTCAAGGTCCTACCATCCTAGCTGCCCTCCTCCAAAGGCTCTCCAGCCTATCAATGACCTTAAAACTAAGTGCCAAGCATATATAACCTATATCAAATTGCTTACTCTTTTAGGAAGAAGAGAGGGGAAGGAGGAAAATTTGGAACTCAAAACTTTGTAAAAATGAATGTTAAAAATTGTCTTTACGTAAAATTGGAATAAAATCAAATCAAATCAACAACAACAACAAAAACAAACCAAAAAAACCTGAAGTGCCCAGAACTGAACAAAATGCTCCAGATGAGATCTGACCAGGGAGACTATCCTTTCTTATTCCTGGAATCTATGCTTCTTAATGAGCCCAAGACTACAATACTTTTTGACTATCATATGAGCAACTCATATTGAGCTTACAGCCCATTAAAACATCTATATCTT